GCATCTAAAAATAGACGTAATACTTATAAATGTAGATATATTGTTTCAGTTTAAAGATTATTTATTTTCTTCTTTTCTTACAAAATATTTTCCTCGAGATATCATCTCGTAGCAAATATCCCTATTAACGCGATAAAATGTTATAATTATTCACTTAAATACTTAATAATCCCTTAAAATAACTCTTCCCTTCTTATTATTAATCCTAAACTAAAATTTCAAAGAAATTTTCCAAGAAGAATATTATTTATTTATTTATTTATTTATTTATTCAACTTCCGTCCCCTTCTTTTCAATCTTCGTCGAATAAGCACACGTCCATTCGTTGTTTCGTAACGGCCTATATAATTTTTACGGGACAATTGCATCCATTCATCTCGAAAGGATCGAAGGATGGAAAGAACGCGAGACACGCGTGTATCGGGAGGGAGAGGAGAGGGGTCACAATCTCATCAACCAATATATAAATACGAATCCTAATCGGTCGGCTGTCTCTTTCTCGGCCCTTCAAACGTTTAAAACCCCTCGCGTTCGACGTACGCGAGCACACATGCCATTATCTTATTTACGCCTCATTGTCTCAATGTATCATAGCGATATCCAGGGACCGTGCTCGTCACGGAGCAACAACAACACGTTCCAACAAATCGGTGTCCACGTGAAAGTGGCCCCAACGAATGGCCAGTGCCCTATCCCCCCTGGGTGGAATCTAATCCGTCTCGTGGAATTATTTCGAGACGAGAGAGTGTACAATTGAAAGAGGACTGCGAAACTTGGTGCGAAAAACTTTCTTTCTCTCTGGTGGAAGGGAAGGGAAGGGAAGGGAAGGGAAGGGAAGGGAAGAGAAGAGGGGGAGGGGGAGGGAGGGGGAGAGAGAGAAAAGGAGGAAGGAAACGTCTAAGAAATGCGGAATCAACCGGCTGCACAATATCGGTGGAGACGAATGAGGGTAAAACCGAAGGACGAGGATATTCGTGAAGGACGATGGATAAGGTTTATGGTTATATAGAAACTGTAAAGCAATTTTCTATTTTTCGTTTCCTCGACCTCGCCCTCACCATTATCCATTGACTTTACTCCAACGAAACTTTTATTCCAACCTATGTTTTGACAACCGTTGGGTTCTGCCTGTTATTTTTACGATCCTCGCAGATGGATTTTCCACGGTCCATCGCCGATTTTCGTGAAATTTATCTTAACCCGATGCTTCTCGCGTTTTTCCAAATTATTCCGAGTTTAAGATTAGTGAAATGATCGAATTAATTACGATACAAGGAAGAATTTTGTAAAGGACGGAAACAATTCTTTTTCTTTATCTTTACCAAGGATTTTCAAAGTTCAGGGAGAATGATTTTCAATCGTTGGAACGGCAAAAAATTTCGAGAATCTAAAAACATTTACGAAAGTCGATTAACGATATCGTTTTCTAAAAAAAGAAAAGAAAAGAAGAAGAAGAAGAAGAAGAAGAAGAAGAAGAAGTAGAAGAAAAGAGGATTCGAGGATGTAATCGCAATGTTGATCAGACAAGTTTTTTTTTAAAAAAGTTCTGAACATTTATTTTGGCGATCATACGCGTGTCGCTTGTTGCGACACGTTCACGATCCTCGAGTGTATACATATGTACATATATCGTGTCTATCGTATCTTACGAATAACAATTATCATCTATGTACATGATATAACAAATTCGACGAATCTCGAAAATCGGGGAAGTTTACTTCTCCTTTCGATTTTTAAAATCGGTATACTTATAATACATTTCGATTGAGATTCGATCGCGATACGCGATCGAGAGACAAGAGATCATCTAAATTATTTAATTATTTACAATTTAATCAATTATATTACTCTTTTATCATTTAACATGATCACAAATCGCGCGGCCAGCATAACGATACGTATCATGAGAAATCGGTGAGACGCATTTTCGAGCGTAGGCCAATATTACTTATTCACCTAATTCGATCGATCCTAATTCGATTCTTCTAATATTTACAAATATAATTGCATGAAAGAAATTGAAACGAAAGTACATATACACTGCACACGCATTAACCGGGGTCGAGAAGATATAAACTTCCGATATCCTCGGAATTTGAGCGAAACGTTCGACGTGAAAAGTCCGGAATCGAAAATGGGAGATCAGGTTGGTCTCTCTCTCTCTCTCTCTCCTCCAACTCTACCCACTCTCTCCTCGCGCATTTCAATCGTCCCGCGGGTTCGACAAACCTTTCGCTCGAGGTATCACCTTGCTCGATTCTACCTTATCCGCGCGAGCACAACGTTCCTCGTCTCAACAGCCATCGGAGAAGAAAATGATCCTCTTCTTCCGTCACGAAATGAGCTCGGCTCGATCGACCGATGGCAATATCCACAAATTCTCCGACGTCGATTCGATCGAAATCGTCGTTCAACATCGTCGCTCTCCGAGCACGAGTTTCGACGAGAGCCGGAAGAAACACGGTGAACACGAATACCTTGGCGGCGACGATCGCCTAGACGATGGACGACGTTCAGCTCTGCCTTCCAGTGAGCACGGTGATCGGTTTCAACAGCAACTGGGGAGGGCTGTGGGGAAGGGACCTCGGCTGCTGTACCCCGACCGAATTGCAAATGGTGACCGGTGGCGAATGGGGCGACATGGGTTCCGGGCTGCTTCCCGGGGACGCCGTGGCCGAGGTCGGTTGGCTCAACAGCGGAGGTTGATTCACGTGGTATCTGGTGGGTTGTTGGTTGTGCGCGAACACCGCCGCGGTGCTCTGATGCTGGTGGGCGGCCAACGATCTGAGAGTGGAGTAAAAGTCGTACGGCGTGCCGGACACGGGGATGGCGGAGGCGGCGATACCGGGTGGATATCCGGCGGCTGTCGGGGGTTGGAGCAACCNATCGAGTTCTGCCATCCTTGCTTGTTGTTCTCGTAATAAGGGAAATGGCGCATTATGTACTCGTAGATACCGTTCAAGGTGAGTCTTTTCTCCGGGCTCTGGCGAATGGCCATCATGATCAACGCGTTGTAACTGTAAGGGGGTTTCTCGCATTTCTTCTTGTCGTCCGATCCTTGCCGATGATCCTTGGAGTCCTTCTGCTCGGACGACGAGTTGACGGAGGCGGCCGCGTTCCTCTAGCAATCCAAGGGCGGCGTCTCGGCACCGCCGTCCCCGGTCACGCCGAGATCGCTCGACCCCTCGCTCTCGTCGACGTGGCTGATCTCCGGGGGCGCTGTCCGGGTGAGCGGAGGTGCTGGGGTGCCCGCGCACGCCTCCGGCAGGATGCTACGAATACTGAAACTGCTCTTCAGGGGAACTCGAGGCGGTGGCGAAGCTGTCACAGTTTGTTGCTCGCCCGATCCTTCCATATTCACCATTCTTTTCACGCTTCCGTTCGAAAATCCCGCTCGCCACTTTTCCGCTCGCCACTCGTCACGGAAACGTTAAAACGACGACGCACAACGATCGCTCCGCTTCGGGATCTTCGGTTCACAGCACAGGGACAAACACGAAGCAAATGTCCCGAACAGTAAATACATCACTGTATTTAACTCGGTGATCTACGCTGCGGAAGGGGGGGAGGATCTTCTTTTTCTCTTCCCTTCTCTTTCCTCCTCTCTCACCGGAAAAACCGTTCTTCTCGATTTCCCTCTTTTTTCGATTTGCCACTATGCCCCGTGCTACTCCTGCGAAGCTATGCCGCATATCTGCCGTCATCCCCGCCACGCGCGGTATATATACGGGTCGCGTGGCCACGCCTCCCGAGCTATCGACTTCGAGGGAACGGAGAGAGCGAGCCAATCGCGGCTCGCGAAACGCCCCTTCCACCGACCACGTCCTCTCTCCCCACCAGGACGGTTTGCGGCCAATGTTTGACAGTAAACTGTGCAAACAGCGCGGAGTTACGACGGGGGCAGGGATTTCGAAGGTGGCCGATGAGTAGACGAGTGGAACGGTGGTGGGGAGCGCAGTCGCGACTAAACTCGAAGCCGCGAACCCGCGTATACAAACAAATCCAAACGCGATATCTGTTTTCTACGCCCTCGTACTGCTCGGTGTTCGGGCAACCAACTCTCCACGGGAACCACGTTGTTCGTCCACGCGTGAATACACACCCGAAGGGGGGTGAACGTCCTTTGTTGAAAAGCCGCCTGCCAATGCTCTTCGATCGAATCGCGCAACCTTCGAAATCGATATCCTTCTCCCCCCTGTTTTCCTATTTCGTTCTGCGATCTATCTTTTCTTTTTCTTTAAGTTATATTTTTTCGACCGTGATAAGTATTATTGTACGATTAACAATCGCGCGATGAATATGTATAGAAAAAAGGGACAAATTCCATTCAATAATTTGGGTACAAAGATTGTAAAAACAACAATAGAATTACTCGAAACGAAAGGCGTGCCTATTTGCGGTCATTATGAGAATAATATTGAATATTGCTCTCTTGTTGATCGGTAATCCTGTTAGCGGTAACAATGGCGAACAATTGTCTTGGGTAAGTTTATCCGATTTGACCAAAGCCCTCTTGTTAACCATGCCATAATATTTCTTCAGCCGTAATTTATATGTTTACGAGGAAAAAATTATTACTTAAAATTTATTACTTAAAACGATCGAAACCTACGAGGAATATTTGTTTGGGAACGTTAAATTTATTGCCCCGGTCCTTTCTTCTTACCATTATATTATGAATACCTCTAATTTACCTAAAATTACACTTTAGTGAAATTTTCCTTTTTTCAGAAACAATGTACCAATATACGTATTTATATCTGTGTTGACAATCGAATTTCAAATCACTTGCGATACGATGTTTCTCCTACGATAAATTATCGCAATTTCGCCATTACGTTTCATCGAATTATCCCTATGAATTAAAATCACGTTTCAAAATCATCAATGCAATCACGTGGTTCAATTGAATCGTCTTGAATGAGATAATAGGCTACCTGCGAGCCTAACGTCCAAAGACACGTCTAACCGTGGTGGTGGTGGTCGGCACTTTTGATGTATACGCCATTTCACGGGCGTAACAGCGCGTATGGTAGCTTTTGGGGCGAAGCTCGTTAATTCTGAAGAAAGGCACCGATGCCTTCCCTCTTGGGAACGATGTCTTGTAGATTTTCATCTCTTGATGGGAAAAGACTGTTGGTGGTCTGGAAAAGATCGGGACACACGGAATTTATTCCACCCCCTTCTGCTACCCCCCCC